AAGCAAATGCAAATGTACGTAAGCCAAAATGTTGTACAGCAAGGTATCGAAAGGGAGTGGACGTTCTCCCGTAGTAGGTCAACTCCCGTCGAAGGTGAAGCCGAAGGTGAACGAACTAGACAAAGAAGAAGTTGAAGTGATCCTTCCTGCGAAGCAGGTCTCCTTACTGGGGACAGGACTCTCACGGGACATGGTAGTCCAGTCGTGTTCAGGTCATGTGTTGTTTGTGGAACTGTTGGAGTTCCTTCCTTTCATCGAATCCGACGTCATGGGCGAATTCAACGTCGCCAACGATTCGGCACGTCCTTTTTTGTAAGGCGCGCAATGGAGGCCCCATGACCTGCCAACCATGTGTCAGGGCCAAGGTCATGTCATGGCGGCTGAATGGGTCAGCTATGTTGGCATGTGTGGGTACACGTGCGATACACATTTGCAATCGCTGCCTATTGTGCCATGTCCAAAGGGCACCTAAGAGGCAATTCAAAGGTTGGTGTTTGCCAACGCCCCTTCGAATGGCAAGGACGGAAGCGCCGGAAGTCGCCGGAAGTACGAAATCACTCCATCGTTGACGGTCTGGAGGAGGTAGTCCGCCTCAGGAACGGCCATGCTAGTTGAGGAAGGCGGGACACGCGGTGTGCTCTGACGGACCTGACAAGTTCCTTCGGAGTTGGAGGTGGCGCTTGCCGAGCTCACGCAGGAGTCGGTAGTGCGCCGGGTTTGGTCAAGGGTGGGCGTGGCGGGGTCGATGGTGGTCAAGGCCTCTTCGGGCGGCCTACTGGTTCAATGATGGGGTGTTACGACGCGCCACACCGGCACAAGCGTCGTGTCAGATGACACGCCACAACGGAACAGGTGTCATCGATTCGTTCGACTTTGTCTTCCAGACCAACTCGAAAACGGCGCCTTGCGTACCCCCCCCATCTTGGAAGGTTTGTAGCAAGGGGTCCAAACCCTAACAACCAGAGGGCGCCAAACGAGGGTCATGTGAAAGGGGAGAAACACCGAGTAAAAGCAATGGATGCGCGGACCGCTGCTGTGTCTCGCGGCTTGTCTGGTCTGGCAAGGGATAACCGCCAAAACAACCAAGCACAGGGGGTTCCTAACTGTCCTGAAACCCCGAGTAGTGCGCCGTGCTCCCTCGTGGGAGTCACGGGATGTGTGTGTGTACCAAGAAAACGGACCTGAAAAATCAAAAATTCCCTCGGAATTGGAGCTCACGGAGGACTTGGTAGTGTGCCGGGTTAGGGGCCGACGGGTGAGTCATTCATTGGGTCGGATCTTTTTGCCACTTCTGGTGGCTGGTCAAGTTGGGGGTAACGACGCACCGCGCCAGCACAAACGTCGTGTTAGATAACACGCCGCGCCGGCACAAATGTCATCCCGAAGGGGTGTGAGCTGTTACATCGGACCAACTCACGAAGCGGTGTAGCATGGAGCCTGCCAAGGAAATGTGTCACAGGTGGGTCTCCCGGGTGAGGTCGGGCACCGCTCAACGAGCCTCAGTTTGTCCGGTTTGTCAAGGGGTCACCGCCCGAAGTAAGAGGAAAGGGACAGTGGGACAGGGGTTCCAGTTAGGGTGACAAACAGGTGCGCTCGTAAAGAAGGCTCGGCGCACCATCTTGCGCCGACCAGGTGTTGACCTCTTCGGTGATTGCAGGCCTGCGTCACGGCCGAGGGTTGGAACCTTATGTGTACATTCACCCGGGCTGGCCTCGCCGTTGCAAGGGACATGGACTGGCGGGCCCGGTTGGTCGAAATCAGATGCTAAAGGTGGCATCGTGTTGTGCCTGTGCCTGAACATGGGTGGCACGTCGGAAGTTCAGCAAGGTCGTTGTTCGCGACGCTGGTGGCTGAAGCCACTGGACCAGGTTGCTGGCGACCAGGTGTTGCAGCGGGTGTCGGGTCGGGCGGAGGGGTATTTTGGAGCGGCCTTCTGGATAGGGGCCGCTTCAGTGGTGCGTGGCGGTGTCATGGACCTGGCTGGCTGGTCGGGGGTCTGGTTCCGCCTGCGAGTGTCGGCTCAGGCCGCTGGTGGTCCTTGCGGTGGTGTGTAAGCCAGCTGGCAGGCGCAGGGGTCCAGGTAGTATGTAGAGTGGTGCGGTGGTGGGTTCCACTCGCCGTAGAGGCGGTCACGGAGGATCTCATAGGCTTGCTTGCAGGGACACGAAGCGCCACTCGTGGGTGGTGGTATTGTAGTGGGCGCCAACGCCAGTGTCCGGATGTGGGTAGTGAACAAAACGGAGCCACGCCAGCAGGTCCCCGCGCATATGTTGCGTCGGCGAGACAATCTCCCCAAGACAAACTCCGGATGGAGGTAACCGCGCAGGTGCTACAACTGGAGCGTTGCACGAAGCGGGCGCAGACCTGGTTGCCCTGCAAAAGGTGGCCCGAGCTCACGGCTTTGGGCAAAAGTGCCAGGGGCTCTTGGTGTGTGGTAAAGGCGCTCATTGTCGGGCGCGACCTCGGCCATGGCCATGAGCTAGGCACGTGGGCGCCCATGGCGGTGAGGTATGCAGGGCGGTCGGACAATGGGAAAAAGTTTCTATTCGCCAAAATGGCGATCGGTACACAGGCGCTCATCACATGCAGTGCACAGCACTTGACAATCCAATTCACGTGCGGGTATGAACGCTTTCGCTTGCGTTTGTTACTTTTCACACAAGTGTGAACCGCAACAACACCCAATCTTCCATAAGCGGGTGAAGGTGGAGGAGATGAGAAGACACACTGATGTGCTTAAGTTTTGCCAGGAACCGTTGCGGCACTTTGTGGGGAACTACCGCAGCCAGGACCCGCCAAAACCGGTGAGTACAATGCGCTATGTCCGCTCAAGCCCATATTCATGAGCTGGGAGAATTTGAGAGCAAAGGCCGGAACCTCTCACAGGCAAGCCCCTTGAATTGCGCATCCTGCAAATCCGATGCCCTATGACGTGGTTCGAAAAGCGTGCGGGAGGTTGGTGTCTCAAGCAAAAAATGGGCCAAGAATGGACGTAGCCAGTGCTTGAATGGTGGCAATGATGATGCGGCGTTGGGCACGTCCGCATACCGCGAATTCCTGGGCCAATGCAGTTCCTTCCCGCGCGAGGATGGGATCAGCTCCGGGCACATAGAGATCGATTGTCACAATGATACTAATCATTTGGAGCAGTGGCAAGAGCGCCTGCAAACCAGCTGTGCCGACGCAGCTGGTCAATCTGGCACTGGTGTTGTTCATTTGCGCTCGGTTCTTCATGGCACTTGCTGGGAGTGCGCGCCTGCGATTCTGCGGTAAGGAAAACTAACTGCATCTAACAATGCACGGGAATTCCATGGCCGGAAGGCGGGTCAGGGCGCGCGCCTCGCAAAGCAATTTGCCTAACAAGCTTTCCACTAACAGCCCTCAGTGGTTTGTAGTCTTGCGCGTGATTCGACGACCCTCTCAGCCAAGGTACACTGCCGAAGATTGGGGTCACGTCTTTGATCACTACGCATGGAAGACCAATGTGTTTGGCAACAATGTCTTCTTTGCCATTAGGTTCCGGCTTTTGGGCCAACGCCCCAAGCATGAATGCCTCGGGGGCGGGAGATAATTTGGAACCCAGAAGACTTGATGATGTTCAAAGTCGTTGTGCGGCACAACATGCGAGTGCAGAAGGGGGAGGCGTCCCTCAGACATACCAATCTCACTGCAGGATAATGCCCAGGGAATTTGGCGGAGGTCTTTAGGGCTTAGCAGACAACCCTCCGTTCTATGATCAGCTCCGCCAGCCCATGAACTACGACGATGTGAGAACCTTCCAGCCAAGAGAGTGCAGGCACAACGTCACATTGCGGCGTCGAGGGTGGCGTCCTTCACTCCACCAAGATGCCAAGCCTGGATCTGGGCTCGGATACTGAGGACCCGCCCAACCACCGCCAACAATTTTGTAGGAGAGTCAAGACTGCGAAACGACGCACAGCCGGGGCTGATGGAATTGAGTCTGGCTGCGACCCCGCAGCCAAACATGGAGGAGGCGCCGGTTGAAGATGTCGCCGACCTCTCCTACAGACTGGAAAGATGACGAGGAAGCTGAGGACATTCCGCCTCTCGGCAGCTTTTTTAGAGACTCGTGGGATTAGACACAACTCCCCTGCCCTAGACGACAGTTCGGAAGAAGACGAATGGCAGTGGACACCGCTCCCTGGTGAAAGAGAAGGCAATGCGCTGCTTGCAGTAGAAGGAACGGCACGCAAGTGGTTGTCCTCGGAAAGGCACTTGGAGACTATCTTTGGAATAAAATGATGCGTTTAGAAACAATACTGCAGAAAGACGCAGTTGTATTCAGACTTGCAAGAAGCTGAAGGTGGTGCGACGGGACACCCGGCAAAACCGTCGAGCAAAAGACACGCAGCCGCACGCGAGTGAGAGCAGACACCCGCGCGAGGGTCCCCGCATCCCAGCAAAGCAAATGCACGTGTGAAGCAGAAATGTCTCACCAGAAGAGTTTACCAGTTTGAACTGTTCACGTGTTCGCAATGGGTTCATGATGGCTACAATCCGAAGAAGCACAGTCAAGGCGCCTGGCACTCCACGTGAAAAACGATGGTGTTGGGCCTATGGCCAAGTGGCGAAGGATGAACTGCAACAAGCAACCCGTGACTTTCGGCTTCTGTTCGGCCACCAGCGCCAGCCTTGCGGTGGCCTTCTCAAGAGCTCCCGCACCGCCGCCACCAGCGTCACGCTCTCCAGGCCAGGACTTTGCCGTCTTAAATAGGTTGCCCCTACAAAGTCACGCGGGGATTTAATAAGCTCGGAGTATTCGGCAAACAAAAACAAGCAAGAGCTCACAGCAGACTTTCAAAATGAGCAAAACCTGCGCAAAGCTCTCCAAAAAAGGAAGAATCCTCAAAGTTCTTCGCCGCGATAGAGGTCTTCTGGCTTCTGGACGGCTTGCGGCCTAGCTAAGACGCGCCCTTCCTAATCGGAAAGCGGAAACTTCGGAGACTTCGGACGCGTCTTAAACTCAGTGAGGCCCCGGCCACGCGACGCCGCCGCGGCGCCAATCACTGCCCCAGCCGCCAGCGATGCTGGCGCCTGGCATCGCTTGGGATGTCAAGGTTCAATGAAGCGATGAAATGATCGGGCATCGCTAGCTTCTAAGACAGCACGCGAAGGTCTGCTTCTGGCCATCGGGGCTTCACGTCTCTTGGGCCCCGCTGGCAAGCTGTTCTTCCTTTGCGCCCTTGTGGCAAGGAAACCAAACTTCAAGCCTCGGGTTGGCTTGCTTGAGCAATGCTGTAAAGGGCTATTGCACAAATCATCTCTCTAAAACAAACTTGCTAAGTAGCCGACCTGTCAACTGAAACCCTTCTCCAGAACGCAAAGCCTCGCAACCGTTTTTAAAAGTATTGGAGGCCGAACCCTGGCACGGCTGAGCCTGGCCGTGGCGCGCTGCGCCCGGCGCTACAAAGCCAGGCGCGGCCAGCAGGGCGGCCGCAGCCCCTTGGAATGTGCGGGCCAAGCGCAAGCCCCATGTCAAGTCTGAATCAAAAAGTCGAAAAAGGAACGCGAAAGGAACTAGACCCCGCGTACGCTGCAAGCGTACGCCAAAAGCAAGAGCCTGATCAAGCCTCAAGCAGAGCTGCGCGGCAAGGGCAATGAGATGCGTCGCGCTGCAAGGTTGTTGCCCAGCACTTGTGCAGCAAGGGCACGTTGAGACATGATGCGAAGCAAGGTTATGTTGAAACTTTTGCGCAAGAGCTGCGGAAACATCCTCCACTCGCTGCGCGCAAGGCTTAAAGGCAGCGGCTTCCGTGGAAGACTGCGCACACATCCTTTCGCGTGCCACTTTCGTGCCTACAAACAGAGACTTTCGCGCAAGCGCTGCAGGAACGTGCTTTGCGCACTACTTCCACGCTTGAAAGCTCAAACTGCGACAAGCACACTTTGGGCGTCACTTTTTCGCCACTTACGATAGAAAATGCTACGGATGTGTTTGTTCATTCAAAATATATCTTTGCAAATTATATTTCATAAGGTCCGAGACACTTCTATATGTGTTGTTTCTTTTTCTTTGTCCCGGACATGATAAATCACGATGCACCTTGTGAGTTGTTAAAGGCAAAGTGGGAAAACACGCGGGGCCACAACGAGAGCGCTTCGACGCGCGCGACGCCTGCAGAGGGTTTATCGCCGAGCGGCGTCACAGCGAGAGCGCTTCGCGAACGACCCCCCCAAAGTGATCTCCCGCTGGCGACCGGCCGACCCACCCCACTGACAAAATATACAAATTCAAAGAGAAGCGCTTTGCGATAGAGAGGAGAAGGGAGGCTGCGCAAGGCAAGGCTATGTTGAGATGTGCCGTGAAGCAAGGTTGTGTTGAGATGTTCCGCGCAGCAGAGCTAGCCTTTTTGAGCTAGAACCCTTCGCAAACGCTTTCGGGAATAAACAGCGGCCCCAGACCGTGAGAGACATAGAGCAAACAACGGATAGGGTGGAATCATTTGGATGACAGAATGGCAGCTGCATGCAGCAATGGGGGCATCCAAAGTATCAGAATCCCGACGTATCAGGGAAAAGTGAAAGTCCGGCCAGTTTACTGTCCATAAGTGGTGCTGGCAGCCAAGCATATCCTCCCAACCGCACCAAACCATGACCATTCGAACTTTCTGCTCCCAGCCTGCCAGGACAGGCACGCGCCCTGGACGGGACATCTGGCTGACAACCTCAGTAGCAAAGCTTTGGAAGACAGCAAGCCATGGCGCGAGCTGAGGCCGACACAGCCATGGCGCGTCTGCACGGTGCAAAAGTCAGCAAAGCTGACAAGCTTTGTTAATGCTTCTGAAAGCTTCTGATCCAAAAATCGCAAGGGCGAGCTGCAACTTGAGCAAATGAGTCCAAACAAACATCAGCCCGGAAAGGGGTACCGGTATTGTACTTGGCATTCGCCCCAATGTCAACTCCGGAACAAACCCACAATGACGTACATCGCAAGCAACTTGCACAAAGCATGTGCTGAAAGTAAAATTTGCGATAGAAGGCTGCTGCAGTTCGAGGCCCGGCATCCAAGTCGTGTCAAGTCGTGTCAATCAGGCTGACATCCAGGGCGAGCAACTCTCCGCGGTATTGTCCCATGTCCCCCGGAGGAACAGTACCGCGTTTGTCACTTTGTCCCAAGGAAAGAGCCTCCCTGCCTCGCCGGTTCTCCTTGGCTTCATGCACTTGAAGCCCACCAGAAAGTCCTTCGAGCCCGACTCATGTTCGAGTGGGCGCTCTGGGTTCACTAGGTTTTCAAGGAACTTCTCAGTTTCCGAAAGTGGAGCCTTGAACACACACGTCCTCCAGCAAAGCCTGGGGAAGCAGTGGTCCCTGGGCGGCTGACTCGAAGGCGCCCTAGCGGGTCAGAAAAAACTTGGCCTAGCCGCGTCGGCGTAATTTGGAGCGTCTTTGCACTGTCAAGACCTGGCAAGCCCTGCAAGCCCTGCTCTCCCCGCCCTGATCTGCTTCTCCAACATCTGCCAGTAGTATCTTCTGGACTTGTTGAGGACCTAAAATGCCCCGAGCAGCAAACCCTCGCGAAGCATTTCAAAAAGAGATGAACAACGACTGCTGAGACGACTGCTGAAACGACTTCTGAAACACATGTTGCAACACAATACGCCACACGCAAAATGACTAGAATGCTAGCCAGGTCTTTGCGAGGGCTACATTCCCAAAATGAAACAACAAACAGAATGCCAACAAGGCATTAGAACACATTCCCAAAACGGCTGGCCTAAGGACACGACTCGTGTGACCTTCCACGGCTTTCGCGACCGAGCGATATCTCTGGGCCCCGGGCAGCACACCTCTCCTTGGATTCCTCCACCCGACGGATCTGCATCTGCTCCTTCCGGATCGGCGCGATCAAGCCAGCACCCCTGCAAACATTGCATCACGCTTGTGTCAATGTACGGTGCCAGAATGTTAAGCTTAACATGTGTACACATTGCGTACAAGACATGTACCCATATAAGAATTGCATGCGCTTGCACGTATGAGCTTGCATGTATGTACTTGCATGTTCGTACTTGTTTTAGGTAACGTGTTTGTAAGCATGTGCTTGCATGTATCTTGTATACATTGGCGTGTCTGTACGTGCATGTGCTTGCGTGCGTGCGTGCGTGCGTGCGTGCGTGCGTGCGTGCGTGCGCGCGTGCGTGCGTGGGCGGGTGGGTGGGTGGGTGGGTGTGTGTGCGCGTCAGCGTGCACTTACGCACGCATGCCAGCCTCTCTGGAATGTTGGCCTCCCTGTCGGTCTGTCAGTCTGTCTTTCCGTCTCTGTCTCTGCCTCTGTCTCCGTCTCTGTCTCCGTGAATGTATGCATGCATAGTGTCATGGAACGGAATGGAACGGACTGAGAGGAACAGAACTAAATGGCTTGAAAAAGCGTGGAATGCGTGCAACGATATGCAATGATACGTTATGTGATGGAGGGTCATGGAACGGAACGTGTAGTTTAGGGTTGGCTTGCAGGAGTTTAGGGCAGGCACGGGATTAGGCTGCCTTGCAGGACGGGTCGTTGCAATGATTTTGGACGGGTTGAGGGTTGGTTTGCGGTGTCAAGGCTAGGCTTATGGTTGGCTTGCGTGTGGCCTACGGGGGTTGGCTTGGGGTGTGCGCACAGTACATCACGTTACGCCACATTGCATTACCTTTTCCGCAGGCATTACATTACCATATAACACCCTCTCTACCGTACACTCCCCTGCGTTACCATACGCTACAATACGCTCCCCTACATCGCTTTACATTACGTGTCATTCATAAAACTGCACATACAGGGTTGCGCATGCCAACTAAACTGCTGATGCGCACACTCACACCCGCAAGCACAACACATACACACACCAGCAAGCAAGCAAAACAGAAAGCAAGCTAGCAAGCCAAAAGCACACAAACAAACCAAAACACAAACACCAGCACGCGCGCGCTCACTCCGTGCGAAGTGCGAAAAAACAATGATACTGACTGAACAACAAACCAACTAACTAACACACATACCTACATAGCAAGCAAGCAGGCAAGCAGGCAAGCAGGCAAGCAGGCAAACAGGCAAGCAAGCAAACAGGCAAGCAAGCAAGCAAGCAAGCAAGCAAGCAAGCAAGCAAGCAAGCAAGCACGCAAGCAAGCACGCACGCACGCACTCTTCAAGAGCCCCCGACGCTATCTTACTTGCGGGCCCCAAGTTTTCCCAAACGATGATGCGGGCGCTGGTGTTGCTAGCCAGGAAAAATGCTCGAGTGACCGCGTGGGCAAACACGTGATCAGAGTATGATATTTTGGGACCTGCTCATGTCATGAGGGTTTAAGGGAACCCTTTTCCATAGTAAATTCCACGTGTCTTTCCAAAGCATTCCAAAGACGACTCCAGGCACGGGCAGTCCGCCATGATGCGAAGCCGCTCCCGGCGGTCCAGCGCGTCGCTATAGAGCAGCTCGGAGGTGGGAATCCTCTGCCGCCAGAGAACACCCGGAAAATTTTCCATTGCGCTCATACATAAAAATTCGAAGCACTACCTAGGGTTCGCAGTCGCCATAAAACGCAAGGCAGCTGCGACCGATCTACAGTGCTTTGAACGTTGACTTAGACCCGGTATGCCTTTGAGCTGAGCACGCGCGACTGCTTTCTTCGGCAATAATGGTCGCCAAACCGTTGAGGGGGCCTCATCGACTCCGATGCGGTTTAGGAAGCTCCGTTCTCGTTCTTAAAAGCTTCCGTGGCATATTCGGACGTCGCCATTTTTATGGCCCCGTCGCGCAATCGGCTCGTGTTGGCAAGCCTGATATGTGGCAAAATGGGTCGAGATCATTCTGCGCCGCAGCCCCGTGCAAATTCCGGATGCGTCGCGTAAACGTTTCAAAGTTTGGTTTCGTGGAGGATTTCGAGATCGTGGCAAGATCACTTTGCATGACGTGGACCTTCTCGCTTGAACTCCGTGGCAGGAGGGCAATACTCTGAGTCGGTCGAATCGCGCTTGCTCCGGCGTGGCACACATTTGAAGAACGCGAAGTTCCTAGAGCACCCAATCAACACTTAAAAGTTTGACCCTTGTATGAAAAGGGTGTATTCCTTTAAAGACGCCTAAGATTAAGGGTCTGCTTTTTCTAAGGTCCCAAGGGAGGGAGGGAGGGAAGGAGGGAGGGAGGGAGGGAGGGAGGGAGGGGAGGGAGGGAGGGAGGGAGGGAGAGGGAGGGAGGGAGGGGGGAGGTACACTTGTTTTGTTGGTTTTTGCCAGCAGGAGCATTTCAAAGCAGCATCCCGCAGGGGCTCAAAACTCGCACTGCTTTCCGGCAGCTTTCCTACTTGCGTTGCTTTGGAGGCCGCAAGGCTGCGCCGAAGCCTGCAGCGCCTGCAGCCAGTCGAAAGGCTTGTCAATCTGGAGGATGCACCAGCCGTAACGCGATAGCGGTGATTGCACCCGTCTTCGTTTAAAAAAAAGAAGTGAAGCACACATGCTTGGATGGGCGCAGGCAGGAAAACACTTGGGTTCATAGGCAGTTGTTTGGAATGAGGGAGGGAGAGTAGACCAAAACATAATATGCGAATGCTGTCATCCATCCAAACAATCATGGATGAGCTGCAAGGTTGCCAAGGCATTGGCCCACGCGTGCTTGGCGTTGCACAGCGCCTACCTTTGAAGGGTCTTGCAGGGAGCGGTGACAGGGCTGGGAAACCAGCAGGATGTATCTCCCAGCAAGAAGCTGAGACAGCGTGTCCAAAGCCTATTAAGTTGTTGGGGCGTGAAGCGGAACAGCTGGAAAATCAAATTGGTGGCATTGCCGGATTCAAAAAGGCCAAGAGCTTGAGATTGCCTGGGGTCGCTGGTCGTTTGGGCAAATACAAAAAAAAGCTATGGCTGTGAAACCGCAGCAGCGCCGTGTGAAAGGCCGTGAAAAAGCGTGCGAATGGCCGTGAACAACGTGCCACAACGGTGAAAACAGTAAAGCGCAAGCAGCGGCCGTGGAAAAAGGCAATGGCCGAGAAAAGCGCTCTTCATGGTCCTGAGTACAATGGCCCCGTGAAAAGCGGTTAAACCGTTGTCCAGGTAGTCGGCGCCCCTTGTCTCAAAATGCGCGCTGCACCACAGCTGGCGCGATTCGACCAAAGCTTCGCGCTGCCTCAGAAAATTGAAGACTACGTTGGAACAAGTTGTGGCAGAAAAGTTGGCCGACGCAAGCAGTAGCAGCTCCCATTCAAATACTTACTGTTGCGCAAGATTGCAGCCTCCAATGCGCCAGAAGAGTCCGGCAACTTCTACGAAATAGGAAAATGGGATCAAAGAACTGGTCTGCAGCTCTGGGCTACGTGTGGAGGATTGCCTGATCATTGCTTCTGTCAAAGCTGAAATGCAAGCATCTGTTTTCTTTTCCAAATAGAAAGCTTTAACCTCGAGGGACAGTTGGGCCGGCCTCAATTTCTTGTTGCCATCAAAATGTGTGTCTAGAAAATGCAAAAACAAATCAAGCCACTCGTGTCGCACAGGAGCGCTCCGAGGCGTTGCTCGGTAATGCGCAGGTTCTCAAAACGTTTGTTCCTGAAGCCGTGCATACAGAATTCCAAGCACGCCGCCTTGACCGGAAAGCACGCGCTACAACGGTCTTGATTGTGTGAGAAGCTGTGCCTTCACCAGATTTGTGAGCAAAACGCACTTACTCGCGCAACTGCGTCGCCGCAAGGCCACAGCTCTGACAGAACAGCCACGGAGGCCCAATCTGTTGTTACTCCGAAGAGCGACCGCTGCTCTTGCCAAACATAACTCGTGCAACTTTTGCGCAGCTGCAGTGGCAGCGTAGCTTCTAGGAAGCTGACCAACTGCCCTGACCAACTGTACTCAAGGCCAGAAGGCGCTGGCCACAGAGGTTCCGCATGACGACGCTGTCCACCTCCGCGATGTCGCCCTTTTATCGCTTAGTACTCAGCGCTGTTGTCACGAAGGCGCCCCTGCCAGCTTCTCTCAGTTTCTTCCTCACAGCATCCGGGCCACACAGCGAACCACGCCCGCGAAGGCCTTTCTGAGTCACTTTGGCTGGCGCCGTGCTAGCACCACGCCAGCGCCGCCTGACCACCTCGTTTATCGCCGTGCGCGTAGCAGCTCCATCGCACGCAAGTCAGTGTCAGACATCCGTTCTTCGAAGTTTTGCTGACAGCTCCAAGCCATGTCTGACTGCAGTAAATGTTCTGGCCGCGCAAGGAAAACACAGGCTGCCGGACTTGTGAAGTTAACATGCTAGCGCGGCACTCGCGCGAAGCTAGCGTATAGGTGGTGGTTTGTTGATTGTACAAACGCGCCGCCTTGACACACGCTTGAGAACTCCTCACCCGGATGGATGTTCATGTACTTCCCCACATGTCTGCTGAGCACGGACTTTTGACAACTCATCACGTGTTTCAGAAATCTTGCTCAGAAATGTCGCTCAAGCGCTGCTCAGAAGTGTTGCTCAGAAGCGCCGCTCAGAGCGTCGCTGAGATGCATTGCCCCGTTTGTCGTTCAGAAATCTTGCTCAGAATTACCGCCCAGAAGCGTGGATCAGAGGCGCCTGTCAAAAGTGTCGCTCAAAAGCGTGGATCAGAGGAGTCGATCAAAAGTGTCTCTCAACAGTCTCGTTCAGAAGTATTGTCGATCAGCAGCTCCAACTGTCGTTCAGGAATCTTGTTCAGAACAGACATGTCGATCAGAGGCGTCTGTCGCTCAGAAGTGTTGATCAGAGGCATCGACCAAGTGTCTATCAACAGTCTCGCTGAGAAAGACCAACCAGTGGTGCGTCGCTCAGAAGCGTCGATCAGAACAGTCGTTATGCCTGTGTGTTCGCGCCTGCTCAGAAGCACCGCTCAGACACGTCACTCAGAACTGCTCAAATTGTCGTTCAGACATGTGTCGCTGAAAGGTACTTGTCCGTGCAGGGATAACGCGCCTTGTGTTCGCAGGTGTTGTTCATAAGCGCCGCTCAGAAGTGTTGCTCAGCAGTGATGCTCAGACGCGCTGATCAATTTGTCGTTCAGAAATCTTTCTCAGACATGTCGCACAGAACTGTCAATCAGAAGCGCCGATCAAAAGCGTCGACCAAAAGTGTCGCTCAACAGTGTCGCTCAGAGGCGTCGATCAGAAGTGTCGCGTACGTGTGTTTGCGCGCGTTGCTCAGAAGCGCCGCTCAGAAGCGTTGTTCAGAGCGTTGCTCAAATTGTCGTTCAGAAAAGTGTCTCCTAAAGTTGTTGGCAGCGGCGTCGCGCGTGGAAATCGTGCCTTGCTAAGGCGCCGCTCCAGAGTGTCGTTCAGGAGCGTCGCTCAGAGGTGTTCAGAAATCTTGCTCAGAAATGTCGCTCAGAAGTTTCGACCGTCGCTCAGATTTGTCGAGCAGAAGCGCCGGTCAAAAGTGTCATTCAGGGTGCTGCCCAGAAGTGTCGATCAGAGGCGTCGATCAAAAATGTCGCTCAACAGCGTCGCCAGAAACAGAACTAAATGTTGCTGCTGTGTGTGTAGAAGTGTCGCGCAGTCGCTCGGACTGTCGATCAGGAGTGTTGCGCAGAAGCGGAGACGACGTCTACGAGGCCACAGACCCCGCGTCGAGCGCGGTGACCGCTGCGGCTGGCCGTGGACTGTCGCCTGTGCGCAGTCGGCAGCGGAGGCGCCGCGACGCACGACGACTGACGCGCTATAGCGAATTGCTCTTTCTATTGATCAGCAGGGCGCGCTGCTGCCAGCACATGTTCTTGAGAAGTTCAGGGGCGGTAGCCGTGGGCCGAGCTGGATCTCAGGTTGAGCCGGTTCACTATGAGCCGCTGGAGTTCAAGGAGTGGGTCCAGGCGGCGGTTTCTCCGAAGATGTTCCTCCGGCCAGCGTCAGAGAGCGAGACGGCTGGGCGTGCGAGGCACGAGCCTGCATCTTCTCCAAAGTCTTTGTTGCACGCGCCGTCTTTCTTCTTCTGGCCATCGCGAAAAAGTTTCGGCAGGTGGGGAAGTTGAGACCAAGCTTTTGTTTCAAAAAAATTGTTTCGCCTGTCGCTTGTTGTCACGCCTGCGCGACGTGTCTCGCGGAATTGCCTCAGCAGATGGTCTCTGCAAATGTTCCAAGAAGGTCTCTAGTCAAGCTATTTTCACAACTGTGTGGTGCGTCGCTTCAGCTCCAGACTGCCGGGCTGTCTGCTAGAGATGGCGCGCTGGAAGGCTCAATCTGTACTTGGATGGGCGGCCTACTTGCTATGCGATTGGCGAACTTAAGCGACTTGCTAAGCCCGTAGCGGACTTACAACCTGCCTAATTCCACTTGGCGAGTTAGAGGGCTTAGCCAACTACTTAGAACTGCTCAGCATCTACTTAGCTAAGTCCTCTAACTCACCAAGTGGACTTAGCCAGGTTTTAAGTCCGCTAGGTCAGACTTGTCGGCCGTACTAACTCAAGTTAGCAAGCCGCGTAGGCTGGCCAATTACATAGCAAATAGGCCACGCAAGTAGACAGCGGCGACCGCACAAGTTGGCATGTTGACTGAAGATGCACTGATGCACAAGGCAAAAAAGAGTTGCGCAGACACTGCTTCGCCTGCAAGTCTGGGTGTCTACGCGGCTGTAGCGCCAGACCAATGCCGACGCTGCTGCCGCACCGCTGCCGCACCAGCGCGGCCGCGCTGAAAGTGTGCGCCGCTACCGCTATGGCTCGCCGGCGGTTTGAGACGGCTGGCGGCGGCCAAGGCTTATACGTGAGTGCTCCATGAAGCAGGCTTCCGCGTCTAGCAGCAGGAGCTGCTGCACGTGACGCTCGCCAGTCGCGTTCTTCGTTGTAGCTCTTGGATGAAAGGTTCAGGATGCGCTGATGTGCGTCGGCAGCCCCGGCCAGGGCAATGCGTGTTGGCTACCGGGCTCGGAGAGGAATTCTGCCGCGTAGACCGCCACGGCCCCACGCTGGACAGGCAAAAAGCCCTGCTGCGATGAAGCGCCGACAACACTGGAGCCAGTTGCTGCGCACCTGCGACCATCGCACAGAGGCAACGTGCGACAGTCACACGGCCTGCAAGCAAAGACGCGACCAAGTCACTGAGGCCAAGGCAGTTACGGCGCTCAAGTCGTGTATCTACTGCACCGGCGAACACAACCACGAAGCTAGCCAACTGACGAACGCCAGGTGCAAAGTAAAGCAGTGTCTTTGTCTCTGGCAAACGCCTCAGAAAATCTTCAATCAACACGCATCAAGCGGGGTCTGCGCCTACTCGAGCGTCCCATGTCTCACGCGGCTCAAGTGTTCATGCCTTGCGCGGCTGCTGTCTACAAGAAAAGAGGCGCAGCGAGAAGTCTACGCTCACGGAACAGTTCCTCAGGCCCAGACAGTTCTAGCGCTCCATCTTCTGCGCCTGGCGAGAACAGCAGTAAGCCAGCCAGCAAACGAAGCGGCATGAGTCTGCCAAGAGGGCAACAGAAACACCTCGGCGAACTCACGCAACATCGTGTGGGTGCTGATAGAGTGCAAACGCACCTGACTAGTTGCTATCTGCCATTTGCGAAGGACGAACCCTTGGCAGGGCGGCGCAGCCAGGACCAGCTGCTTGCTGCCGGGCCCTGCGAACAATGCTGGCTGGGACGCACTGCCACGCGGCAGCTACCGTGGCCACTCACACAGAAGACCCCGTTTTCTCTTTTCTTTGTGTGTGTCTTCTTGGCGATTGCATCCCGGGCGGGCGCGTCACTCGCCGACATCCCAAGTGGCAACCTAGCCGCCTGCGTGAGGAGACCGCTAGCTATGTTGTCGCACACGCGCGCCTTTCATGGCACAACCCCACGCAAACAGCTGAGAACGCTCAAGACGCGATGTTTCCGGGGATGTTCGGCGCCAGCATGTTCTGCGGAGTGTTGCCGATGAAGCCAAAGCTGGGGGCTATGTACGCTCCTCGAGTTCAAGAAGCGGGCCAGCACATGCGCGTGTTGCTGGCGCGCGTGGATGATTGGCTTTGGCATTCGCTGGCACTGACAGCGACGCCTGCTATTGAGGTTTAGTATGGCGCGCGCGCGTTGTCTGGTGGAAGGCTTGATGACATTCTCGCGCTGCCAGCTCTTGACTCTTGTAACGCACGCCGTTAGAGAAGAAACTCCCGGTTGTTGCGTAGGTGTTCCAGATGAGATACACGGACCTGGGCGGCAGAGTGAGGCACATGCCCCGGACTCTACCCGAGGCTTGCGCATCGCTTGTTTCCGCACGGTTGAAGTTCCATCCAGCAACATTCATGTGAGGCAGCGCGTTCGCGGCGATTGGCTCACGTAGTGCGAAGAAGCCAAGTTTCGACCTGGCGGCGCAGACCCCGGGCACTGGTGGGTGTCGCGCAGGAGTCAAGGTCATGAAGGACGGAAAGGAGACAGCCGAGGTGTGGCTGAAAGACAGCAGCGACAAGAAGATCCTAGTCAAAAAGTGGGGCCTCGATCATGGCACGTACTTCGCTGCTTGAGTTTCGCACTTCGGGCCGGTGACGCAAGCTTAATGGAGTCTGCTTCGTTGTCCGAGAGTTCGCTGGCCACTCCGACCGCGGCAGGGGTCAGCTTCCCGTGTGACTCGGCACTCCGGCGCGGCACTTGTGTACGTTTTCTGAGCGTGGGCCAGCATCCTGTGCATCATGACTCCGGAACACGCCACAGCCAGCTGCGCAGCCGCGCGTTCACTTGTCTCTGTGTGAGTTGTGTGTCTGCGCGGGGACCCGTCAAAAGACTTTTCAAGATGGCAGGCCTGCTGCAGGACCAAGATCGCGGTCAGCACTGGTTTCGAGGTCATAGGAAGCTGCAACGCTGAAGGCCGGGTTCATCTTTTTGCCAAGATGCGCCTGATGCCTGGCGCGTGCGCGCACTCATCTTTAGGAAGTTGTGGAAGCGCAGCGCCGATAGAGACTTCCGTTCCACGGGAGCACGATGGCGTTTAGACACCAAATGCGTCACCAAAACGAGGTTCTCAGAAGCGCTCATGAGGGCCGCATTCACACGCCTTGGCTGCTACGCACACACGTAGGGCGGGCTGTGGGCGCCAATATGTGGAAAAGCAAAGAGAGGAGCGGTCATGGACAAAAAAGGGCGCAAGGTTGTCGGGCTACGGTTCTTACACCAGCGCCTCGATCGATCGGTTCTGGCGCGTCGGGCATGACCCGCCATTTCTCCGGTCAAACGCTCGCCCTTTCGCCGATCGTCTTCGCGGGTAATCATGCCAGGGCAATCAGCGGGCCTTCGGCGCCTTGTCCACACTGCCTGGGCGCTGTGTCCGAGGAGCGTGCTCTCGCAGGCAGGAATCCAGGATGCCGTCATTCTTTCGACGTGCGCTTCTGTGTTTTTCCAACTGCGCTGCAGGCTTGCAAAGCACCGATGTATGACGCAGCCCATGGCTCCAGAAACTTCTTGCAGACATATGAAACAGCGCGGCGCAGCTTTCTTTTGCACACCGTGTGTAGCTAGCTGGGTGTCAGCATGCGGCGGCACTTTACGCATGCGTGGAAGCACGCCGTGTGACGCAGACTTCTTCTTTCCCCCGCGCCGTAGGCGAACAGCTTGGTAGAGCACCGGCGCAAGCTGACGTTCTGCGGGCGGAAGAGGAAGGCGGTCACGTGGGCTTGGGCCGGGCCAAGGTTGCACCCTCACCTTTGAAGCCGCGCCCCGACTCCCCGTCAATAGGCTTGAGGATTGCTTTGCGGGTGAACGTGATGCGCCTTCTTTCAGCCCACCTCGAGCAGCCTCCCTCCTCCTGGCCAACAAGGCCATCACCATCGAAGCCACCGAACTCTCGGCACCAATGAGGATGTCCTCGTCGAAGAACAGCTCCATGGATGCACAAGGCGCAGCGGCAACCACAGCGCCCCCGATGCGTTTGTGGAGCCTGGCAGCTCCTAAGGTCGGCCCTTTCAAGAATCCTGCTCGAGCCAACTTCCCTCCCTGCGGTCGGTGACAAAAACATGACCCGCGCATGCCAAGGGACCTCAAGAAAATGTTACAATGGCAGGCCCCCCAAACATGCTCATACATTCATCGTATGCCCCAGACCCTCTTTCCAACCTTGTCGCGTCTTCGGTCTTTCCCGCCTCCTGGGCGATGTCTTGGGCGAGTGACTCTCAACCTTGTCAATCGTCTGCCACTCTCTCCGAGTTGAGGTGTGCCGATAAGCACACTTCTAATTGTGTTTGATTGAAGCCATGTGCATACCGGGGTCACTTAAGTGAACACGCGCGATACACAATCAACTTGCTGCCATTTTCATTGCCGGCCTCGGAGTCACGGTCACGCTTGGCATTCTTCTCCTCCTAAGAGTTTCAGGTACTTCCATCAATCACTGCAAGTTCGCTCTCGGCTCAGAATTTGGAATTGCCCTCAGCCATTACATCTTGACGCTGAGGCGACTTGGCGTCCCTACATCTGCAAAGCTGCGGTGCGCAAGGTGTTCAGTGCGAGCCCTTCATTCAATGGATCGGCCATGGTGAAAATTGTTGGTGTTTGTCAGATCTTCCAAGGTAAACAGGAAGGACAACAACAGAGGCGAATCGTTTCGAATCGAACCTGGCCTGCCGCAGGTAGGCTTGGTATAAACGCTCGAAGACGCTGACGTCAGCCCCAGCCTCTGCCTGCTTTTGACTCCATGCCTGGCTCGCGGAAGAAGCGCAAACCGGCAGACTTGCTCTCAAGGCTGCCTGCTTCATGGGTGTGTTTGGGTGTGTGTGGAATTCCGCTTCAGGCGCCTGCGCATAAGGGCTGATCTTCGGCTTGAGTGTTAGCTCAGCATAGTGCTGTGCCTGCGCAAGTCGACATGCCTTTTCTGTGCCGTCATTTCAATATGTCATGGAATGTTCACACAAGCTTTGCACCTCGCGCTATGAGGCAACTGAGGCACAACTGTTCACAGACAGCTTGCAGCGCACAGGCCTCGACCTGCTTCAAACGCTGACTCCTCATTCGCTGGTCCAAGCCTTAAGCTGCGAAGCATAACTTTCGCTGCAAATGTAGACCGCTCGGACGGACATGCAAAAGGCAAACACAGTTCGTTCATGCAGAGGCAAACATGAACCAACAGGTGTGTCCTCTTTTGAAGCCAACCTATTTCGGAGAGTTCAAAGATCCCAGTTTGAGACAAACCCGCGTGTGTTTGCTGGAAATTTTGCGTGTGCTGTAGCACAACCATACAGCATCGTGGTTTTCTGCCCTTTGCACGTCCTTGCCGAATGTGTCTTTGCATGACTGCCGAGTGACTGCTGCAATGCTGGCTCGAACATCTTCACTACATGCAGTCAAATGTCCGAATGGATTTACACGCTGGCAACTGCAGCTTGTCTAATCAGGAATGAAGGAGTTGGCTAACAGCCGGGACACAGTTACAACACAAGAGACAGAAACTCTGCGTGACAAAGACAACCATTAAAGCTAGGAACAACCCTGCAAACGTTGCCCAAGCAACCCTGCAAACGTTGCTGGCATGAACAAGAGGCTTCAAGCTGCAGCAACGCCGAGGTATGCACGCTGGACCCATTTGCCCTCGCCTGCGAACCGCACGGCTTGGACATGCGCCGGCCTCACCTGAAGACTTCGCAACATGAACAGAAGGAGCTTTTAGGAGCGGTTAGCTGTTGCAAGGGTCCCAGGAAAGCAAATTCTGCCACGCAAGCTGAGGCCTGACTGCGAGCCTGTGGTGTCCGGCCGAGAGAAGGTCCGCGGGCTGCCCCGCGGCAGCGTTTTGGGCTGAAAGGTGCACTCCTAGCCAATGGGAAGGGGACAACCACGCTGGAAGACAGGTGGCTGTTGGTGACGCTTTGGCAACTGTAAATAACGAATCTGAGGTGACAAAGCTCATCAACCGTGAGTGTGTTCAGGCTGCATGCTTGAAGTTTAACTTTCACATGATGCTGACATTCAACCAATGAAGAAGCACGACATGCAAGCCTAGAAATGCAAAGGCGAAAACGCACAAATGGTATGTCGCATTTGACCCCTTCAAGCCCCAGGACTAATGTTTCGACATTCAGCCAGAGGATGTTCCAGAATTCCAGCCCCTACCCAACGGACAAAACGTCGCAATAAGAAACGCCCGTCCTGCGCCTCCTTCTTGCGGAGCTCATCCAGCAGCTGATTCCGCCTGAGAAGAAGGTGGGTACTAAACATAAGGAATCGCAGGGAAAAGGCGGAAATCGCAGGCCAGGGAAAGAGAAGGCGCTCTTCGGTCCCGCGCTTCGCAGACGACCTCTGCAACATCGCATCATGGTGCTCCGCAAGCTTGCTGTCCTCGCATGCGACGCAACCAAACCGGCTATACTGAATTCATCTTGTCATCGACCATGGTCATACTGGATTTTGTTGCTTGTCTTCAATTACTGTTGTGGGGGTACTGACCGTTGAACAACTGTCGATTCCAGAGCTGCTGATCGCTCCTTCCACTCCTTCCACATCTTCTTCTGCGCCTCACCTGGAAGTCTTTGACAAAATCGGAGCTAAGGTTTCAAACAATCAAACTGCAACGAACAAAGGCAGCAAGTCAGCGCCCCTCTGAGATAACAGCTGGCTTCAAGGCTTTGTCTCAGCACCTAGTTCAATCCAGTCCACGCTTCATCTTGCAAGCAAAAGCTCGGCTTTCACCTCCTTTTTTGTTTAAGCTTTCCAACACTGACCGACATTGCAGTGACTTTCTGCACTCAATAACTCGTTCGGTTTGGCTCTATGACCAGCACGGCATCGTCGAAGGCTTCCAAGGAAACCTGGCAGTTTACGAGAACTGGGGGCTTTCTGTGTGCTTGATCGATCTTGGCTTGGGCTTTTGCACGAGACCCTCGATGTCCATCCCGCAGCAACAGGTCCCGCGTTGTCGTCAATGGCCCTTCTTGCCTCTTGCCTCTTGCTCTCACAACTCTCAATCGCCAAATGTGCGCCGAAATGTTCGCTCGTTGCACCAGGCCTCCGCTGGCTCCTGCCAAGCGGCCTGCGGGTGCGAAAAACAAGCCATGCCCTTGGCCTTGTGGGCTTCTCTGAGGCGAGCAGTTAAGTACCAAGGCACAATGCCTGGCGTTGGACAACCGCAAAACACCAGCATCTTCGATTTGGTTGGCACATAACAAATCCGAAGCTTTCATAAACGGCAAGCATGGAAGCGCTAACCTAGCTCTATCACCGCGGCAAAGCAGCAGTTATTGATCCCAAGCGCACCCTGATGAAACATCTTACATGCACAGGAAAGCTTGAGTCTGTTGAGAGCCCCCTTTTTCATTACCGATCATGTGTCTGTTCCCATCCGAAAGGACCCCATGTTGATGCTGATTTCGTGAAACGGGCAACTTCGCCTCGGCCCCCAGACCCGGGAAGCGGTCAGACCTCGGCACCTCTTCGGGATCCTGTCCGTCCCTGACCCCGTGTCGCGCTGCCAAAAATTGACTAGATGACTGCGACAAGTGCTCTTCTTGCGCGCTGGCACGTCGGACAAGTCTTGCTTCATGCCATAGGCACTCAGGGGGTCCAAATGAAATTCAAAAAGTGCGAGCGTACTGAACGTAAGTTCGAAACATTACCCTAAATTGTAAGTGTTCGCGTAAAGGAATAGAGCTTTGCTTCCGTACAACAAAATCATGCCCGTGGTCGACTACGCATCTACAAACATGCTGGCCTGTGGCTGGAACGAGAAACAACGTGGCCAATCAATGAAGCCATTTCAAAGGAGCTGGTTTCGCGAATCCTTGCAAACAAGCCATTGGGCCATACTCGATAAGACGAAAGCGGCACCCCATAGACCAAAACAAAAAACGCATGACAAAAGCAAGGGAGGGACTCACTTGGATCAGGGCCTCTTGCAATCTGTTGCATTTTTTCGCTTGTCAAGGTCCACCAGGGGTCATTGGTTGTCCACGCCTCTGGCTCCGCCTGGCGCGCGAAGGGTTTGTTGAGCTGGCTGTTATCAGCCCGAGGGGAGGGGTGGACGACGGTTGAATAGAAATGGATCTTGGCGCACCATCGATACTCGCCAAGTGACATAGAAGTTGGGTTGGGTGAGCAATTAATCACCATGTCCTAATGATCATGGCAAAACGGACGATGCGCCTGTGTTGTCACAGGCTTTGCGAAGGCAAGACTTGGCTTGGGAATGCTTTCGAACAGCGCGCCCGAAAACTTTCGGCAGATTGATCCAATTTTGCCCTAGTGTCTATCGCGTCTATTGAATTTGCGATTTGTCTTGCAATGCGAGTTCCCAATCTTGGGCTTCCAGCCACCTATGCAAGTTTGTGCCTTGGCGTCTGGCGTCGACAGCGGTGGGCTGCCATCTTTGGGGTCCGGGCAAACTGTCACCTGAATGGCTCGGCAAGGCATCGACGGAAATGGACCCATTGCTTCAGGCTCCACATTCGACCGCCCAAAAATAACCCCCCCTCACAGAAGTAACAAAGCTCCGGTTCCTGAGGCCGAAGCGTGATACTCCAACTGCGACTCATAGACGAACTCCTTGGCCGTGCAGAATGCAAGGAAACCACCAAACCCCACCCAACCCCCACCAAACCCCCAACCAACCCCAGCCAATCTTCTGCGTGCAAACTCTGGCAAAACAACCCTACTACTCAACCACAAGCCAGCGCTACCCTAAACCAAACCTAAATTAGCCGTGAACCAATCCTTAACCAACGCTAAACCAACCAGAAACTAAACTCAAATACGCAAACAACCCGAATGACTCGCGGATCCTCACTGACGCTGATTCTTCATAATACTTTCAAATGCCCCGTTTGGGACGTCTGGCGATTCTACAAATGCGTAATCATCTTCATGGTCACAACCTTGCTCATCAGCATCCGACTGGCGATGCTGGGGATGCGTACTGATCGTCCTCCTCATGGCGATCATCATCATCGTCGTTATGACTTTTTTGTCTGCCGACCCGTTGTCTGCAAGGGCGAGGCGCACGGGAAGGCTGGTGGTTCATTGTCGCAAATCAATTCTTTTAAGCAACGCTGGGGATGCAAAGTGGTGACTTTTGGGGTCAGGTACTAACGGCGCTTAGCTCTACAAGGGTTGGGTTCTGTAGCCTGGTTGGTGATGCTGGGGATGCGAAGCGCGCCATCACCATAAGCATCATAATGAAGAAGAAGGAAAGAGAAGGAAAAGGATACTATAGAAATGCTTCCATGAAAAATCTTTTACAGTCTAGACAAGTCCTGGTCGCACCAGTCAACCCTGTCAGAGTCAAGGAAAATTAACCCCTGAGTCTTCGTTCATGTCTATCTCCTGACTGTTGGCAAGCATCAAGCCTTGAAGGCTGGCGCTCACGCTGGCAGGGCAGAACCGTTCCAAAACTCTACGCCAGCATCTCTTGACTCGCCAATCTCTTGACTCACCAATCTGTGTTCTCACCCGTCTCCAGATGTTACCGAAGTAACCACCAAAAGGGAAGGAGATGATGGGTGATGCATATGTAAGGGACAGATCTTAGCTCTGCAGTTTGGTGAATGGCTGGTTTACTTTCTTTCAAGGGGTCTTATCGTATAGAAAAGGTCACACGCCAAACGTACAGAATCATACCTGAATGCTCGCCATCAGTGGCAAACATGTGAGCGCCGCCAAAGGCGCGAGGGAGCAAGCCCTTTTTTCCATTTCAAAGCCTTGATCCCGCCCGGCTGCGCATGGGCAGTTGTCTGCAAAAGGCTGTGTGCGCTTGAGTCGATTGTGGGTCCCCTAAGTGGCATGGTATCTGGTTGGTCGCATCCCCTCAAAATCCTCGGCTCACATGCATCAGTGCTCTCATTAAGCCAAGGCCACCGATTCGTGGTCGCTAGGCTTTCACTTGCCCTTGGGAAAAAGCTACTAAGCTCCTTCTTCTTCTTCACCTTCTTGCCGGCCGTGAAACTCGGGTCGTCCAGCAGCTTCCACCTACGGATTTTTTTGCTCACAGGCGCTTTTTGTACACTTAGCGTTGGGCTTTAGGCCTACTGCGCTGGAAGAAGCGCGCCGAAACAGCCCCTTTCTCAAGAATGGCTGGACAGAAGTGTTCCTTGCAAAGTTGATTGACAGGCGCAAAGCAAGTCTTTTTGCTTCCTGCCTTTGCGCAAGCTGGCAACACTCAATTAAGTAGCGGCGATACTAAATCAAGTAGTGGCAATACCATATTCAGTACTGGCAGCACTAAACTTAGTACCTGCGACACTGAACTTAATACATTCGGGTAGTACTGGCATACGAAGTTTAGTACTGGCAATACAAGATTTAGTGCAAGCAGTATCAAACTTGGTATTGCCGCTGCAAAATTTAGCACTGGCAACTGGCAATACTTCGGAGGGCTCGCTTTCCAGACCGCGCGCAACTTCAAACTTTCTATCTTTGCGCTGGGACGCGTGTGGCCTGGACTGCTCAGGAAGCTCAGGAATCTCTTCAAAAAGGTTTCTATCCTTGCGCAAGCCTGGCCACACGCATGCCAGCGCAAAGACAGAAACTTTGAAGTTGAGCACGGAAAGCAAATCCCCCGAAGTATTGCCGGCTGCCGGCGCAAAATTTGGTCTTGCCAGCACTTAACCTACTATTGCCAAAACTAAATTTAATATTGCCAGTCGTCCTACCAATACTGAATTTCATGTTGCCAGTACTAAATCTAGCATTGCCAGCACTAAAGGAAGTATTGCCAGCGCAAATTTTTGTATTGCCACTACTTATTGAATATTCGTGCGAAAACGGAATCAGCCCTCTGCAGGCTTTTGTTGGCCCCGTGGAAAGATAGAAGCTCTCCGGTCACAAGTGTCTATCTTTGTGCAAGCCCTGCGTTCTCAGGCCTTGCGGAAACATAGAAACTTTCGCTACGCCTTATGGCCACGAAAAATCATTTTATTTGCTTGCCAGTACTAAACCGAGAATTGCCAGTAGTACATTTGGCACTGCCCGTGCTACGTTTGATACTGCTAATACTTAATTGTGTGTCCCCAATAACTACATTTAGTATTGCCAGTACAGTACTACTACTAAACTTTTATTGCCGATACCAAATTTAATACTACCAATACTGAATTCCAGTACTAAATCTAGTATTGCCAATGCTAAATGTAGCATTTGCAGTTAAATTAGTATTGTCGCTACTTAAACCAATATTGGTGCGAAAACGGAATACGCCCTCTGCAGGTTTTGGCGACCCTGCGGAAAGATAG